AGTCCATAGTTCTTTGGGTGCCCTCTTTTTCTCCTGCATGTTCTCTGGTAAAATTGGGCACCTAATATAATAATCTCTTGTTCTCGGGGGTGGTGACTATGCTGAGAACACTGGACATTCAGGGTGAGTTGTGTGTGGAAAATGGGTGGAGGGGTTAGGCCAGGGGAGGTGGGATCAGGAGAGAAACTTGCTGGCACTCAGGAAGCAACGTGGGACACCTGGGCAGGACAGGTGTGGAGCCAAGTCAGTGTTTGATCGAAGGGTAAGTATAGAGAAGGGAACTACAGTTGGAGTGATAAGAATCACAATTAGTGTATTACAAAAATCCTTGCGATTAAAATTTTATGCTGAATTATACTGAACTGCACTCAGGTTTTTGTCTGGATGTAGATATGGGGTCTGCCTGAGATTCAACACAGCCCAGAAGGCAATGCCTGAATGAAAATGAAACTTTCGTTTTGTAACTCTGAGTTCAGGTGTTTGATTAAGCAGTTAGAAGCCCTCTGGAGATCTCTGTTCCAAGGATTTCTCCCGGGTCGTTCTCCCTTTCTACTATCAGCCAATCAGTAACGCAATTCCAAGGCTCCAGCCACGTTCCCCTAATTGCCTTTAGAACCTTCCTTCTTGTTGTAATTACCCACGACACCAAGAAATCAGTGTTTTGTGGTCAAACAGACTGTGAAATATTTCACAAGATTTCAACCCCGAAAAACTTTTTGTCCGTAAACCTCACCTCACCTCCAGGCCCTCAGTTCCTATGAGTCACCCGTGGGTGATCAGGAATCCATCTTCTCTCTTCTCCACAATGTTCCAGGCTCCAGCATTCCCTGCAGGTCAGCTCAGGGCCTGGAAGTGCTGAGGAATGGGTGACATCACTGAGCATCGAATGCGGGGGTTTCATGTGCCAAGGATAGAAGGCAGGTGGGTGGTGTTGAAAGGAAGAGTCATTAACTCACAAAGGCATACACCCTGATCTTACAGCATCCAGGAAGGAGGAGCTAAGCAGTTACAGAGCGAGGAGGATGGGCTTTGGAGATTAGAGAGAAGGAGATCCTTGGAATAACCTAGAACCTTCTATAGGAACTTCTATAGGATCTTCTATAGAAGATCAAGTCCCATGAAGTAGAGGAGACAGTCGGAGGGTGTGAGCATCTTGTGTGCTACTCACCTGTCATCCACAGAATAACCCTAAATCTTTCTGCCTCAACTCCTTCCTTCCTTCCTCTCTCCCTCCTTCCTCCTTTCCTTCCTCCCCCTCCTCCCTATCCCTTCCTTCCTTCCTTCCTTCCTTCCTTCCTTCCTTCCTTCCTTCCTTCCTTCCTTCCTTCCTTCCTTCCTTCCTTCCTTAACATATGTTGAGCTGATCCAGCTTCTTGTAATCTCCATTCTAAATCCTCCATATCTTTCAAGGCAGGTACCAAGAGTTTTCCTATGAGAAAAGTCACAGGACTCTTCAATACCCTGTCTTAGCCTTCCTGTAGGCCTGCCATTTTAATTTTTTTCATCCATCCATCCATCCATCCATCCATCCATCCATCCATCCATCCACTCAGTAATCAAGCAGGATGTGTTGCACTGCTATGGCAGCACACCATGCATTCTGCTATACACAAGAAATTGGGAAATGAGTAAGATTTGGTCCCTGTTCTTAGTAGATCACAGAATAGTGGGGCAAATGCACAAGTAATAAAATAAGCACGATCTGATGTGGTCAGTGCTGCAACGTGTGTGTGGCGTCCACAGGCCCCAGGTCAGAGCCTTTGGGTATCAGCCTCTTTTTGCCTGCAGTAACTCTGAGGGGGAGGATGCAACCAGAGGTTGTCACCTGCTATCATTTAAGGGTTTTAGTTGAGATGAAGTCATGGGCCTGTAAGAACAGTGCTTGGACAAGTGGTGGGAACAGAGGTGGAGATCCTTGGTCTGCCCGTGGGCAGCCAGCCCAGATGGCAATGCCAAGAGGAGCTCATAGAACTTGGGGGTCCTCCCAGGAGGTATAACACGTTGCTAAGGGTTTTACTGAGGGGACACTGGAGAGATCTCAGACAACATGTAAGGGGCTGAATAATGGGTTTGATAAGCATTCATTTAAAGTCAGAGATTCCTGAGTTTGAATTCTTGCTTCTCCACTAAACAGCTGGTACCTGGAGAAAGAAAAAGCTATAAAGTGATGGAGGCACCATAGATCAAAGATGTGAGGAATAAAATCACAGATAGAGTCAAGAAATCTAGCTGCAGTGACACAGTTTGCTAACTAAGACACACCTGAGGACCATTGTGTCAGTACCATGGTGACTGTGATATTTATTCTAAGAGCTCCAAGAGTAGTTTGGGGAGGGAGTGATTCCAGTTGGCTAGGGCGGCTTAGGGAGATTGGCTGAGCTATGAATCATATTTAATGGGTGTGGTGATGATGAGGGTGAAATGGTGAAGCTTATGTACACCAAAGTAGGAGTGATTGACCAAGAATTTTGGAAATTACCATTATGTAAGCTGTGTGGTATTTTTCCATTGCATTTTATTTTAACATTAGAGATGCATTGTTCTCTGAAACATCACATTTAAGAATGAGACAAGTCACCCTAGCCCGTTTGGCTCAGTGGATAGAGCGTCGGCCTGAAGAAGGGTTCAGTTTCAATTCCAGTCAAGGGCACGTACCTTGGTTGCAAGCTCGTCCCTCCCCAGCCTGGGCCCTGGTCAGGGCACGAGCTGGAGGCAACCAATTGATGTGTTTCTCTCACATCGATATTTCTCTCTGTCTTTCTCTCTCTCTGCCACTCTCTCTAAAATCAAAGGAAAGATATCCTTGGGTAAGGATTAAAAAAAAAAAAAGAATGAGATGAATCTTTGAAATCACAAATATTCATTACAATATTGACAAAGCATTATAGTTTTTTATAAACATTGATGAAAATTATGTGTCTGATTATCCTGTTATAGGAAGACCTATAGGGATAACTATCCCTTTTTAGGTGATCAAATAAGTAATATTCATGGGAAGAAAGGCACACCCCTGGGAAGATGTCTTTTCACTGTGGCTGTGTCATGAGGGTGGTGGGGAGACTGGGAAGGGCCTGAGGACAGAGGCCTGCTCACGCACTAACATTGTCTCATTAGTATGAACAACTTATCCCTCTCCTTCCTTGGCTTTTGATGTGGAAGCTAGCAAATGCTCATGTTCTTTTTTGTCACCACCAAAGCCACTATCTCTGTGTCAATATTTTATCCAAGCTGGGGGTCTTCTCCGGGTGTATTAAACTAACACCATGTCCACCCAGGCCCAGAGGATGAGAGGCCAGCTGCATAGAGAGCCACCCTGTTTCACTCTGCATTGCAAGTAAACTGGGAACTGTCGCCCACAGATGCATCTGAATGTAAGCTTCCTAGAGAAGAAACTTTGTCTCTCTGATTCTCTGCTGTTTCTAGTGCCTAGAATTGTGTCCATCATAGGTACTCAATAAAAATGTATTTTTTTATTGATAATTTTTTATTGAGTGGCTAGGACTTGGTGTCACCCTGATGCAGTCTTTGGAATCTATTTTTTTCATTGCTGAAACTTCTCTTTTTTGGCTCCATTTTTATGATGCTCTTTATTACTTTTAGCTTCCCAATATCTCTTTGGTGTCTCAGCCAGGACCTTTATAAGTTGACCCTGCTCCCTTTTCACTCACTCAGATTTGACTCAACCATGAGCGGTAATTCTGTCAGTTCTTTAGAGTGGCACTTTGAGGTACTTCTGAACTTCTAAGTCTTCTAAAGCCCCTGGCAGAGGGTGTGTTCTAATTCTCCAGTTTTTCCAGGCCATGGTGGACTGTTTCAGGTCGGCACAGAGCTGTTGGGCTTGTGTGTTGACTGTGCTAAAAGCCTGGTGTTCAAGGTTTTGCAGATCCTGTCTGTAGAGGCATAGCCCTTCCTGGGTGCCAGGCTCGCCCTCCCCTTTGCAAGACTCACATGCTGCCTGCCCCTGGCTGGGCATCTCTGGTGATTTTTAGCTGAACTTAAACTCATGGCTAGAGCTGTGGCTTCTACTTCAAGGATTCATGTCCCAGCTTGTTAGACCTGATTGGTGTGTCTGGTATTAAACTTCTTCAGGGTCTTTTTAATTCCCAAGTTTTAATAATTTCCAGGCTTGATAAAATCTTTCTTTAATGAACTTATGAGATTGTCTAGCCCCTCCCCCTCACCCCTGCTTGCTCTACTACTCAGTTCTTAACATCAATTTCTCTTAATAATTGCCATTTGATTGTGGTGTGAGCTCTATAACATTTCTCTGGCTTTCTGGCAGTCCAGGTGAGATGTTACTCTTGGTTCATACGTAGGAACATTATTTCAACCTCAGCAGCATCTGAGTTTTATAATTTAAGTCGAAGCATGGGACTGTATTGAGCTTCATGGTTGTGTAGAGTTCAACAGTTAATGAATGTTTACTCCTTAGATTACATTGACATTCTCATGTTCTCTTTTTAATTCTAAATTTTCATCTCACATACATCAATTATCTCATTGATTAGACTCACAGCCACATTGCTCCCCCTAGACCTCATTAATGTAAATACTTGTCACCTCCCATCTCCTGTATTTTCATGGAGCCCATTGAGTTAACTCTCCTTCCTGAGGCATACGTCTCCTTCCTCTGCCAATTTTCTGTTTCCTTGCCTCCTGATTCCCTGTTACTTAATTAGGACCCCGAAACAGCTTATCAAAATATATACAAGTCCCATATCATACAGTGCTAATTCCCAGATTATATCAGCACCCACTCAGGTTTCACAGGAAAAATCAATCCTTTCACTGGGAGTTGCAAGGACTCAAAGCAATATGACTCTCACCCTTCTTTCTATCTCCATTCCAACCTAAAATCTCTTCACAGCCCTTCTATGGGTGGAGGGGAAACTGATCTATTTTTCCCGGGTCCAAAACTAAGATTCTGCTCCGAGTTGTGTTGTGTTGACCGAGGAACTGAGAGGAGGGACAGAGTGAAATGACATGCGAGCCACCCATGGTAATGAGGAAGAGAAACTTTATTTTTTTCACAGGCCCAGGCGCTGCCAATCATTGTCACGTGCAGAGGGTGGGAGGATTGTGAGATCCTGGACATCAGACTGGGAGATCGGCTGGAGGTGGAAACTCTCCCTGGGAACATCCCAGCTCTGACTGGGCAGGCGAGCATGGGATGTCTGGGAGAGGCTGGGTCTGACTGGGGCTTTTCCTCTGGCTTCTTGTCTCCTCTCAAGTTGCTTGTCTCAGCATCAGATCCAGGTCAGCAGCAGCCCCCAGAGCCGTGGCCACAGCCCGAGGCCCCAGGATGCTGACCACTGCCAGTGTCACAGGACTCGGAGCTCTGGCGCCTGCAGCGGTGGGACCTGCGGTGATGCCTGTGGTGGCTCAGGCAGCAGCCACCCTCCGAGGAGCTGGGGCCACAGCCGCCCCCAGAGCTCAGAGCACAGCCAGAGGGGGCTGGGGGCAGACACTGTGCTGGGCTCTTTGGGGGGCACTTCGGGGAGGGGCACTTGGGGGTGCACTTGGGAGGGGGCTGGCACTGCTGCTGGTTCTGCTGGCAGGACATCTCGACAGGAACTTGACCTTGAACAAATAAAAGACATTTTGAGCTCAGAAGCTTCAGAAATTTCAATGTCTCCTCCCCACAGCTTTTGTCAAACACTCATCCTCCATGATGACCAAGCTGCCTGCTAAGCCAAGCTCTGAGGAAAAGAAATGGGAACACGGAGGGGCCACAGGCATTTGGATAAAGCACCTTCAAGGATGCCAGATGGGCCCATGTGCACCCCTGACAGCATACTCAGCAGGAATGGGAAGGAGTCCTCAGGACCTTGGTTTTTGGGGCTCACAGCCCCCTGACAGGTGCCTGAGTGGCTCCTTCCTCACCATCCCCATCCCCCACTGCTGCCCACTGTGGGCCTCTTCCCCCTGGTTCCGTTCAGATCTGAGTCCCTCTTCCTATACTCCCAGCTGAGGTTTGTCCCCTGCCAGACACTCACCGGATGCAGAGGAGGCAGGAGAAGCTGCTCCTGGGGAGGCTGTGGATGGGGAGCCCAGGGCAGGAGCCCTTTTATCCTGTGCTGGGTTTGTGACGAAGGGCCTGAGCATGCTGCTGCTTTCACAAGCAGGGGGTGGTGACAGCGCCACACACTTCCTAGTTGCCTCCCTCAGTGTCTTCCTGGGCAGGAGCCTAACGTTTTAATAAGATGGAACCAGGATGTCCTTGTGACTGCCAAATACTTCCCATTCAAGTCTGCCTTGGACCTGCGGCTGTACATTCATTCATTCATTCATTCATTCATTCATTCACTTCCATGCATGGACACAGGCTCTTTTACTTCATTTAGCAGTAATAATGTAGAGATACTTATGACATGTGTCTTCCCTTGAGTATCTCACAGCCTAAATGGACCATCACTTAGACAAAGAACTATAATGGATCTGGTGAAATACGTACTATCATAGGAGTGTTTACAAAGACCTCAAGCCCAAGAATCCAGCTTTTGGAGGTCATTGCCCCATTGCTCTGCAGGCCCCGAAGGAAGATGGAGCCTTCAGGTGCTCTCTAGGGGTGACAGCTGGGCAAGGTCATTGTCGTGTATTTGGTTTACATAAAGCTTAGCTATTATGAGGCCTTAGCCATTATGAGGGCAAATGAGGCTCACCAACCACCTCTAGCATTGTCAGCTTCACAATTTTCAACCATGTTTACGAAATGGCTCATATTTTTTTATTGCTTAAAGTATTACAAAGGGTATTACATATGTTTCCTTTTTTCCCCTGCCCTTGACAATCCCCTGGCCTCCCCTACCCCCCAGTGTCTTATGTCCAAATGGCTCATTTTTATCATTTGAGCAATCTTTCTTTAATTCTTCCAGGCAGAAGAATTTCTAGTGTCAGAATCAATAGGACATATGCCACAGTCAGGAAGACATAAAGCCACAATGGAAAAGAGGATATTTTTTTCTCCATCTTCCTCCTCCTCTTTATAGTCTTCTTTCTCCTTCTTCTTAAGAATATCCGTTGTGAATATTGTCATGGCTAGAGTTGTAAGTCCCTTCTCCATTCTAACTCCTCTGCCATATGGGGATATGAGGTCCTCTTAGGAAATTTTCTGCCCTGGACAGGAACTGGCTGTAAGCCTTCCTTTAGCCTACATCACACTAGCAGAGAGGTTAAGCATTACTAGTAAATGAGCATTTGCCTTTGGGATAACTGAGCCCTAAGGCGACAATGTAGGTGCAACACGAGCTGATGTTGTCTATGGGTTCAAGACGAGCTGTAGAAGAGAATAATTATTTTTTCATGTCAGGTGGTTTCCCAGAAAAAAAGTACAGAGGCCGTTTTTAATCCCAGTGATGTGCGATTTTGAGTTGCTGTGGGGCTGCACTTTGTGTGTGACACGCCCCCCGTCAGTGTGGCCCAAACTGTTTCAGAACCTGCCAGCAGAAGTGTCTTATACCCAGCCCAAGTCCCCGTCTCAGTCCTGGTCTCCATCTCCTGATGCTCCCATTCTTCTGCTTGATTTGGATCACCTTAATCTCACACCTCCCTCACGAAGCCTCCCTCACCTTACACCCTCCCTGTCCTCCTCAGAAGAGAGGCCACGGTGAGCCTGAGATGGCAGGTGAGCCTGAGGTGACAGAAGATACTTGAACCTATGGCCAAGAGCATGAGGTGACTCCAAAAGTGGGGCACTTTGAGGATGTTTCAGGAGCCCTGACATCCTTGAGGAATCTGGAATAACATGTGGAGAAGAAGTCTACCCGGTTGGTCTAAAATGAGGATTGTATGACCTCATAACATGTATGTTAGCTCTGGGACAGGAATTGCTTTAACTGAGGCCCAGCTTCAGGCCGAGCCTTCTGAGCAAGGCATATTAGTAATACATGAGCAACAAATAAACGAGGACCTGCCCTGCTCCTTAGTGACTTATGACTGATGCTGCGAAAAGGGGAAGATGAGATGAGCAGGCCTGAAAGCAGTGTGCTAGGAAGATATTTATTCCTGGAGTTTGTCATTGTCTTGTTTTTGGCTATTAAGTGCATCGATTTGGATAAACAAATCCATGGTTTGTAATATATGCTCATCATTGGTCCATGCAAGGTCCTCTTAATTAATTTATCCAACTGCTTATCTATCTTCTATCTATCATCTATCTATCTATCTATCTATCTATCTATCTATCTATCTATCTAATATCTACCTATCTATCTATCATCTATCTACCTATCTATCTATCTATCATTTAAATAACAAATACAAAAATCCACCACACAAGTGAAACAAGAACTCTAATAGTAAGGTACATATAACTTACTATGTACCTTATTCCCTACCAGCTCCTGCTGCTATAACCACCACCTTGAATTTGTATTTATCATTCTTTGCTTCCTTCTTGTATGTTTTTCTTATCACATTTAATATTTGTATTCCTAAATTGTATTTTATTCTATTTTTAAGTCCGATTTCTTGAGGTATATTTTACAAACAGAAAAAATCACCCATTTAAAGTATGCAATGCTGTGAGCCTTGGCTAACAGACACCAATGTGTGTACACCACTACGATTAAGATAAAGAACAATTCCATCCCTGGAATATATTTCCTCATGACCCTATGGAGACATCACTCCATGACTTTTCTCCTCAGCCCTCCCCCACACCAGACCTTGGAAACTACTGATCTATTTTCAGTCCTTATAATTTTATCTTTTCCAGAATGTCATATCATTGGAATCATATACTATGTACCGTTTAAAGTCTGGCTTTTTCCCCCTTCACATAGAATGATACACTTGACATTTATTCTGTTGTTTCTTATATTAGTAGTTCATTCCTTCTTTATTGCTAAGAATCATTCCATTGTATAGATGTATCACATTTTTTAATCCATTCACCTGTTGAAAGACATGAGCTATTTCCAGTTCAGGGCAATTATGAGTAAAGCCACTATAGACACTGACTGGCAGGTGTTTCTGTGAACATAAATTTTATTTCTCCTGGTAAAAACCTAAGGGTAGGGTTTCTGGGGCAAATGGTATATGTTTCATTTTTAAAGAAACTGACAGACTGTTTTCCAAAGTGGTTGTACAATTTTGCTTTCCTGCCGGCTCTCACTGAAGACCTAGTTGCTCCACAACCTTGCTTATACTTGGTATTGTCAGTTATTACTATTGTTATTATTTATTTTAGCCATTCTAATGCGTGTAAAGTGGTATCTCATTTTGTTCTCAATTTGTATTTTCCTAATGACTAACGATGGTGTCTTTTCATGGGCTTGTTTGCCACCCATATACCTTTGTTGAAATGTCTGTTCACATATTTTGTCCATTTTTAATGTTTGTCCATTTTCTTATTATTGATTTTTAGAATTTTTATATATTATGGACATACGTAATTCATCAGATAAGTATTTTTAAAATATTTTCTCCAAGTCTGTGACTTTTCTTGGCATTTTCTTAAGTGTCCTTTAAAAAGTAGAAATTTTAAATCTTGATGAAGTCCTATTTATCAAGATCTTTTTTGAAATGTCCCCTTTTTGGTCATACCTAAATTTTTTGGCATACCCCAAAATCACAAAGATTTTTTTCTTGTTTTACTCTAGAAGGTTTATGTTTTACATTTTGAACCATATACAGGGTATCCCAAAAAATGTATACATACTTTGAATAATTATAAAAGCAGTTTTTATTAAAATACATTTCATTTTCAAAATGTAACAGAAGCTACAGACTTTGAGTGTATACATTTTTTGGGACACCCTGTATATTGAGTTAATATTTATATGTAGCATCAGGTACAAATCATTTTTACACCTAAGGATGTCCAATTGTTTCGGCACCATTTCTTTCTTTTTTATATATGTTTTTATTGATTTTTAGAGCGAGAAGAAGGGAGAGGGGAGAGAGAAAGAGAAAGAGAGAGGACTATTGAAATATCAATGTGAGAATGAAACATCGATCAGCTGCCTCCTGTATGCTCCCTACCAGGGATGGAGCCCACAACCCAGGCATGTGTCCTGACTGGGAATTGGACTGGCAACATTTCGATGCACTAGACGATGCCCAATTAGCTGAGCCACACCAGCCAGGGCCCTCAGTAGGGTCTTAAAATAACTCATGGGATCACTATGCTTCAGTGTGGTTGAGTTTTAGAGTGAAGTGAGAAAAACAAAATTGTCTAAAGGTAGGAAGCTAGTCCTATAGTTTTGAATGGTCATTAAAGGGCAAAACACATATCCTATAACAAAACACATATCCTATAAAAAGGAATCCATTCAAAATCATTTAATTAACTAAGTGTGCTGCATTATCACCTGCTTTTTACCAGTTAACAAGAGGCCATGAACATTTTTCTTTATAAGAAAATATAAATCCATGATATGATACAATTACAACAGCAAAAATTATGTAAGTTACATATGGTTTATTAAAGTTCATAGCCCTAATTATATGTTTTACTATAGCTAGATAGTATAATAGATTCCAATGTGCAAATAGTTTTGAGTTTAGGTAAATTCAGTAAGAAAGAAATACACATTTTTAACTCTGGTCAATGTCCTTATTTGTCCATCAGCACCTAGCCGGGTCTGCTTCCTTTATGCCTGAAACTCCATGCTGCTCCCTGGGTGCCAGGAGGTCATCCGAGGGCTCACTCCACAAGACAGGGCCCTGTACCAGTCCTGTCCCTTGCCCACATCTCATTGCCAGGAGCTCACGGGGAAGTAGTCACTTATATCTGAAGGTCATGGTCACTAGAACATCCTGGAGACACTGTGCACATTAAATTACATGTATCACTTGGAATTGTTTTGTCATTTATTAATTGCCCGTGTGGGTCTCTCGGTAGAATGCAAGGACAGAATGTTTTCATAGCCATCCTTGCTCCCAGGACAGTACCTGAGACAGGCTGAACCGAAGCATGGCAGCTGGGAGAAGGCAGGAAGCAAGGAAGGAAGGGGAGTGTCAGGCTCCCAGGAAGCCCCGGGGGGAGTTATGTGGACAGTCATCCTGCTTCCTGGTTGAATCTCATTAGTTGGACGTTATGCAAGTGCTCAGGGAAAAGGCTGGAAGCCTAGTCCTGGAGGTGCACCCGGCTGTCCCCTCCCCCTGCTTGTGAAAGCAGCGCATGATCAGGCCCTTCGTCACAAACCCAGCACAGGATAAAAGGGCTCCTACCCTGGGCTCCCCATCCACAGCCTCCCTGAGAACAGCTTCTCCTGTCCCTCTGCATCCGGTGAGTGTCTGGAAAGGGACAGACCTCAGCTGGGAGTATAGGAAGAGGGGCTCAGATCTGAATGGAACCAGAGGGAAGAGGCCCACAGTGGGCAGCAGTGGAGGGGGTTCGGGGATGATGGTGTGGAAGGAGCCACTCAGGCACCTGTCAGGGGGCTGTGAGCCCCAAAAACCAAGGTCCTGAGGACTCCTTCCCATTCCTGCTGAGTATGCTGTCAGGGGTGCACATGGTCCATCTGGCATCCTTGAAGGTGCTTTATCCAAATGCATGTGGCCCCTCCGTGTTCCCATTTCTTTTCCTCAGAGCTTGGCTTAGCAGGCAGCTTGGTCATCATGGAGGATGAGTGTTTGACAAAAGCTGTGGGGAGGAGACTTTGAAATTTCTGAAGCTTCTGAGCTCAAAATGTCTTTTATTTGTTCAAGGTCAAGTTCCTGTCGAGATGTCCTGCCAGCAGAACCAGCAGCAGTGCCAGCCCCCTCCCAAGTGCACCCCCAAGTGCCCCTCCCCGAAGTGCCCCCCAAAGAGCCCAGCACAGTGTCTGCCCCCAGCCCCCTCTGGCTGTGCTCTGAGCTCTGGGGGCGGCTGTGGCCCCAGCTCCTCGGAGGGTGGCTGCTGCCTGAGCCACCACAGGCATCACCGCAGGTCCCACCGCTGCAGGCGCCAGAGCTCCGAGTCCTGTGACACTGGCAGTGGTCAGCATCCTGGGGGCTCGGGCTGTGGCCACAGCTCTGGGGGCTGCTGCTGACCTGGATCTGATGCTGAGACAAGCAACTTGAGAGGAGACAAGAAGCCAGCAGAGAAGCCCCCGCTGGACCCAGCCTCTCCCAGACACCTCATTCTAATATTCCCAGGCTGGTTGCTGAAATGTTCTTGGGGGAGGGGTGAGCACTCCCCAGAAGATGCGAGGCATGTATTTTCCAAGCTTCTGGGCAGCCCCTCCTCTCAGTGTTAACCCATGTGTCTAACCAGGTAGAGAAATAAAGCCTGTTCTCTCCCTCTGACTCTCACTTGTTGTTTGACTGCTTCTCCCAAGACTGCCTCCTGCAGCTCCTGAAGGTCCAGCATCCCAGCACCAGGAGATATCCTGATGTGGGGCTGAACCATGAGTGGGTGGGATTTTTCTCACAGGAGAGGCCCTGGGTGACTGAGGGTGGGAGGGAGCGGAGTGGAGAGTGGTTGCCGAGAACACTGTCAGCAAAGGGCTGACTTTTCTTGTGTCACAGTGTGGGGAGCAATTATCTAATATCGGATCCCCTGTCTATATTGAGGTGGTAGGGAAGATCAGAAATTGAGAAGAATGAGACCAAAGAGGACGGAGGGCCTGGAGGCAGAAAGAAAGGTCTAAGGGAGGAAGATCAAGTCAACCTACAAATGACTGACTTTAGAGAGAGAAGCAACCTGCAAAGTTAGTCAACTCTGAGGACACTGAATTAAGGGTTTTCCTTGAGGGAGTAGATGGGGTGTTCTGCAGAGGGAGGCTCTGAGAAAAGTGAGAAGAAAGAGAACATAGGAAATGTCTCACGGGATTACAGATTGGAACCCTGTACATTTCTCTAACCTCAGATACCTGGTTTGAAAATATTTTCTCTCACTCCATAGGTTGCATTTTCACTCTGTTGATTGCTCATTATGCAGAAGATTTTAAATCTAATTTAGTCCCACTTGTCTATATTTGCTTTTGTTGCCTGTGAAATCATAGCCAAGAAATCAGAGCGAAGACTGATGTCTGGAAGCTTTTTCCCTGCATGTTTCTCTGGAGATTTACTTTCAGGTCTTAGGTTTAAGCCTTTAATCCATTTTGAGTTAAGCTCAATTTCTTTTTTTTTTTTCATCTGAACATCCAGTTTTCTCAACACTGTTTATTGAAGAGACTGTTCCCCATTGTGTATGCTTGGCACCCTTGTCAAAGATCAGTTGACTATATATACATATATACCTGGTTTTATTATTAGACTCTATTCTGTTCCATTGGTCTATAGATCTACCTTTATGCCAGTACAATACTGTTTTAGTTACAGTAGCTTTGTAATATTTTTTTGAAATCAGGATATGTGATGACTCCGGCTTTATTTTTTCTCTCTCAAGATTGCTTTGACTATCTGCAGTCTTTTGTGGTTTCATATAAATTTTAGAATTGTTTTTCTATTTCTATAAAAATGCTGTTAAGGTTTTGATGGGGATAAGAACTACTATATGATCCAGCAACCCCACTTCTGAGTGTATAGCCACAGAATTGAAATCAGGATATGAAGACAACTGTAGTCACTGGAGTTACACTTTCCATAACTATTACAACAAAAATGGTATACTCTTTGTCTCAATGATTAAAATGTTTATCTTAAGTCATCAAACACTTGTATATGCACACAAAGAAAATTATTAAAGCAGGTCTACAGCAGCATTTATAGTTAAGGAAACATTAGTCTAAATATCTAACATTAACAGGAAACATGTAAACACTGACATCTTATTCAACAAAGATGCAGTAAGGGAAAGAGGAGGTCTAAATGTCAAGGACATAACCTGCAATGAACATGCCCTTTACCACCACCAGGTGTCACCTATAGAAGCAAGAGCAGGTGGAGGTTGACTCAGAAATTTAGTCACTGATGTCTCCAACATCACCATTATCCTCTTCAGCATCTATAAATTTATTATAAGTTAACATCTAATTTGCATCACTTGCTTTCTACAAAGTTCCTCCTGTAATTGCTCTTTCATTCTTTGATTATCTAGTAGTCACTGGAGACCTCAAGTGAGGTAGGCATTGTGTATTGTATATAAAGCTTTTAAACCAGTGGAAGAGACAATATTAAATAGTTACAATAATAATTGTGTATACAAGCACTTCAAAAGGAATTTAAATTAGTTTGAGGTCAATAAAGTCTAAAATGACTTGGATTCTGTAAAGTGATGGTCATTGAACACCAACAGGAATCCCCACCTTCAGGTGTGGAAAAGGAGACTTTATGCAAACAACTAAACTGTGATAAAAGTGCTACATGTCTGTGTAAAAGTGCTACAGCACTGCTATGAAAACAGTGCACTGTGAGATGGAGGGTGCGGTGGGGGTGTGTGTGTGTGTTGGGGTGGCAGGCCAGCTGGTCAACTCAGCTCCTCCATTATTTGCTGGGTGCTGTATGCTCTGCTTCCTCTGGGGAGACATCTTCACTGCTTTAAATCACCAGGAGAGACGTAGTCTCCAGTCTTCCACAGAAAGGAAAAATGCTCTTAGAGCCAGAGGGGGAGCTGGCTCATATAGACAGCAGTCTCTGCCCCTGGTCTCTGATTGGTCTGTCCTCATGTAAATAAGGGTTCCAAATCCTGGCAGTTTGATTGGTCCAAGAAGCACTGTCCTGATTGGTCAAAATAGAGCCTCTCTGATTGGTCAGAGCTGCACAGTTCTGATTGGATGGGAAAAGCCTTAGTTCTATTGGTTGAAAGAGGATTCCAGGAAATCTTTATAAGGGCTGGCTCAGATAGCGGAGACTGTAGGCTGGCAGTTGAATCCACAGGCTTCTCTGCTAAGCACATTTTGTGTGAGAGGCCCTGTGAAGAAATGGCTGCTAGGCTTTGATTTTTAATTTTTATTTTTTATTTGAGCCCAGGTAACCACCCTTCTTAGTAGGTTTTTTGTTTTGTTGTTTGTTTTTCTCTCAGGGTTCATGATACCAAGGTCCCCTTACAGTGAGAGCAACCACCCCCTCCCACACACACTCCCCAACTCCTCGTGTTACCGGGGCCTCTTGAACTCCTTTTGTGATGAGAGGCTCCTTGATCTGCTTCTTCTGCTTATAGTATAATTCCAACCTGTCTGTATCTGTATCATAGCTTGGTTTCGTATTTATCTATGTTAGAAATTCAGTTTGGCTTTAATCACAGAAACCTGAAATAACCATGCTTACATAAACTAGAGGATTAATTTTATTTCTCATGGCTCCTTGGTAGCTGCATGATGCCAACAAGGACCTGGGCTCCTTTTCCTTTGCTCCTCCTCTGTCCTTAGTTCTGGTTTCTGTTCACAAAATTGCCAGAGCCCCAGGGTGCTGGGCTCCAACCATGATGTCTGGGACTTAAGAAGAAGCAAAGAGGCATAGCAGAAGGTATCCATAGCTGGGTGAGCCCCTTCAAATGGGACTTTTCAACATTTTCATAGTTTTCCTCAATTATAGTTAAAGCCAAGTCAATTATAGGTAAGGCCAAGTCAGTGAGTGGCTCCCGCCCGGTAAATGCAGGGCACACCCCTTCAGAGCTACACCTTTGGAAACTCCCAGGTAATTGCCAAATTGAATTTTCCATCCTCACCTCACATTGGCGCCCTCTCATGTTGGTCCATTGAGGTGGCATTGTAGGTGTGAGTTTCCTCAGTCTTTGTGATGAAGATCACAGGTGTGTTTCTGTCAGATATCAGATATGATGCAGGACACCCAGCTTTTGCTGCTTCTAGGTAGCGAGTGGTCCACCCATTTTTTCCTACTGCGAGAGCAACTGCTAGTTGCCTCGGTATTCATGTTCCCCATTTTCTTAACTTTGGGCCAAGAGCCCAGTGTGGGAGGAAGCAAACTATGAAAATGGAGAGCTCAGCGTTACTGTTTGCTTCTCCCCCTTTCTCCACTGGTCGCTGCTACCAGGCACTGCTACCAGGTTCAGGGACACATGTCCCTGGCAGTCTCTCAGGGACTGACGAAGAGGAAAGCAGAATCTTAGAGCCCCAGAGCTCAGGCTGCTGTGACTATGAGCCCTTGGGGTCATGGGAGGGTGGGGAAGGGACCTGGCTGTTGCCAGCATTCTGGGAGCTGCTGCTGAGTTGGGCCCTGAGGACCACTAAGGAGCAATAAAGGAAGACCCAAATACCAAATAATCGTGGGCCTGGCCCAGCCTGATGGTTCTTTCTCTCCCCTTCCATTTTGTCCGGTACCTCTTGGGTTCAACACGTTTTATGTAGACTCAGATTTGCTCTTGATCTTATAAACCCTACTCAACAATAACGCTCAAATTTTATGATTGGATTGTGTTTCATTTCATTGTATTTAAGTTCCTTCTCAGAGCTGGAGTCCTTGGAATCTACTTACAACAAGACTTTTAATTTACTGTACTTCTTCCATTGTGGTCTGGAGCAAATGCAAAGTTAGTTCTGTCTTCAATTCAGAGCTGCTCCAGGGAAGTGTGATAAGGACCCATCAGTCAAGGCAGGGCGTCCAGGTGATGGGTGGGTAGATTCAGACACATAGGGGCAGAACGGAAGCTCCACAGGTCTCCTAGAAATTACCTCCTTGTGATCATGACCACTTCCTAATGAGGATAACTGCAGACTTACAACATACTTGTTTAATCAACATTTTATTATTCTATATTTGTTTCTAGAGTTTGTGTGTTTATGATTATAAATAATACAAAAATTAACATCTTAAATTTCTGAATTTTGTTTATATTTTAGAATATTATCTAAACTTCAATCTCCAGATTTAAAATTGATTATAAAACTGTTGCAACAGAAATATATGAGGGTAGTTTTAATGCATCTAATCCAGAATTGGATAGTAGCTCTTTAAAAGAGTCAATGATGGATATGAAATTATACTTTATTGTTTAAAATTGTTATTCTCTATTTATTTTTCCAAATATTTATTGTTCCTTTGAATTATCTACTTTGTAATTTAAAAAAGCTATTGCCATTCATCTCTAAGTTCTCAGTATTTTCTTATTGATTACACAAGATTTTAAAAGTTATTAACTTGAGTAGTTTAGTGATTCATGTCCCCAGCAAACTCTACAAATTTTGTTTGGTGTTTTATTTATTATATAAATTATTCTTCCATTCTAAGAGAATGGAACAAGTTATCATAATTCAACTCTTTTGCAGTATTTTATAATACTACTCATTTTATAGTTTTATGAATAATTTTTATTCAGGTGACTTATAAGTATTTCATGTTTAGTAGTGCTTATGTAAAGGACCATTTCTACTCATAAATTAAAACCAGAGCCTGCTTATATATAG